CCCTGTTTTTCCGATCCCAAACAGCCCCCCCCCCCCTCAGACCTTTGCCGCCGCTTGCTGCGCTATGCTGGACCTCGAGTTTGGCATGGGTTCCCTTGACTCAGTCCTCGAACTGATGACAGGAAGAGTTTATATCTCACATCGATGAGATATATAACTGGTTTTGATTCTTGTTTCCTCTGAGATACGAGAATTTGTTTGAGCTCCTACTCTTGTTGTGCAGCAGAGGTGCTGCCGAAATTTTCACTGCACACAACAAGGGTCGGAAGAGTAGGTGACCAGGTGTTGGGTCTGAAGCCTGTTCGATGGAGGAGATCATTAAGAAGTTAAACCTTGCGGAGGTGTCAACTTTGATGAAGCTAATGAAGTTGTCGGCTGGTGAGAGTGCGACAAAACCATCGAAGAAGTTGGAGCTTCCGACCATCGATCTGAAGCTTGATGGACCGAGTACCTACCTGAGTTGGTCACGACGGGTGAGATACACCCTTGCAGGGAGGAACCTGGAGGGTTACTTGACAGGAGAGGCGACAGAACCGGAGGAGGACTCGGAGGGAAGAGATGAGTGGAAGACCACTCATATGTTGGTGTACATCTGGCTTCTCAACTCGTTGGTCCCGACGATCGCCGCCACGGTAGATGGCATTGAGAAGGTGAAGGACGTCTGGGAGAAGTTAAGAAGGACGTATGATGGAGTGGGGAATAACCTGCGGGTATTCCAGATTAAAGGAGAGATCGACGCCACAGTCCAGGGTGAAAGGACTGTACAGGAATATGCTACAGAGTTGGAACGCCTGTGGCTGGATTATGATCATTTCTCTCCCCGGGCTAGCTGCAAGGACCCGGGATGTAAAGAGCGGGAGGCCTTTCTACAAGAGAGGACTATGGTGTTTCTTAAAGGATTGACATCAGAGTTCGCTCAGCGAATTGCATTGCTGCTAGCTCAGCCGAAGATTCCCACGCTTGAGGAGGCTATCTCTGCTATGATCCAGGAGGAGACTCGCATCCGGCTGCAAGCGGGGACAGGTGGACTTCCTGTGGTGAAGTCAGCACTGGCAGCCTCTAGCAACACTGGATCTAGGGGAGAGACCCGACAGTGCTACAACTGCGGTGCGGTGGGTCATCTACGGCATGCTTGCACCAATCCATCCAAGGAAGGAGATTCGGGTGGACGTGGACAGTTCGGAGGTCGTGGTCATGGCCGTGGGGGTCGACGAGGTGGAAGAGGAGCAGGGAATCGGGCAAATCTGACAGTAGCAGAAGAAGAAGAAGCTGAGGTGGTCTTTACAGAGGAGGATCGTGCTCTCCTCACGATACTCAGGAAAAAACAGCAAGTAGCAGGGGATGGAGATTTGAGGAATGGGACTGCGGAGGCATCTACTTCGTTCTTCGTCAGAGGCAACACTGCTACCTATGCTCATCCGAACAAAGGTACTGATGACATACATGCTCTTGCTTCTATGTCTCCTGACAGATCATCAGCATGGATAGTCGACTCCGGTGCGTCTTGTCATGTGACAGGTAATGCTAGTGAGTTCTCATCATATACTCACTTAGCATCGCCTGATAGTATTCAAACAGCTGATGGTACATTTCAGCCGGTGGTTGGTAAGGGTACAGTTGATTGTACTGGTTCTGTAACTTTGTCCAATGTTTTGCATGCTCCTTCTTTTCCAGTCAATCTTTTATCTATTAGTTCTATCATCCTCCAACTAAAATGCATCGTCTCTTTTGATATTCCCAAGGTAATCTTCCAGGAGAAGGGGACAGGGCGGAGACTTGGGACTGGCACATGGCGTAGTGGACTGTGGTATCTGGATCGTGAAGGGCTGGATTCAGCATTGGTGACAGTCATAGAGGAAGCAGGAGTAGGATCTAAAATGAGTGCTGAAAATGAGTTAATGCTCCATCACCAGCGTTTGGGACACTCATCCTTTAGTGTTTTAGGTAGATTGTATCCTTCTTTATTTGAGAAAGCAAATAAACAGAAACTTGTGTGTGATGCATGTGAGTTGGGAAAGCTTACTAGAAGCTCTTATGTTAGTTCTGGTCATAGAAGTTCTCATGCATTTGACCTGGTACATTCAGATGTTTGGGGGCCTTGTTCCACAAGTTCTATGAATGGATACAAATATTTTGTTACATTTATTGATTGCTTCTCTCGTGTTACTTGGTTATACCTGATGAAGAATAAGAGTGATGTGTTTGGGTGCTTCCAAAATTTTCATAAGACTGTTCAGACTCAATACGGAGCAGTGGTGAAAGTATTGAGGTCAGATAATGGGACAGAGTATACCAACAGAGCCCTTGAAGAATATTTATCAGCTCAAGGAATACATCACCAGACAACCTGTCCATACACACCAGCACAGAATGGGGTAGCAGAAAGGAAGAACAGACATCTTTTAGAGGTTGCTAGAAGCATGATGATCTCTATGAATGTCCCAGAGACATTATGGGGACAAGCAGTATTGACCGCAGCAGCGTTGATCAACAGAATGCCCTCGAGAGTGCTGGATTGGAAGTCTCCGTGTGAGATATTGAAAGGAGATAATGGTGGGATCCTTCCACTCAAAGTATTTGGCTGTGTGGGCTTTGTGAAGGACAACAGGCCGTCTGTCGGGAAGCTTGCCCCTAGAGCTGTGAAGTGTATCTTTGTGGGATATTCTGCTACTCAGAAGGGATATGTTTGCTGGAGCCCGGTGGAAAAAAGGTTGTTTGTGAGCATGGATGTGCACTTTCGAGAACTCGAGCCATATTACACTCAGAAGGTAACTTCATCTGCTGGTAACTCGCCCAATACTAGAAGTATGGGGCGAGAGGAGGAGAATGGTGAGAGACAGGAGAACAATGTGGAGAAATCCATTTCTGTAACGATTCCTTGGGAGGAAGATTTGGTTGAGGAGGAGTTGGTTGAGGAGGAGCAGGAGAATCAAGAAGAAAAGGAAAATGAGACAAGAGGTGTTAGGCCCACTGTTCAGAGGGAGCTACTAACCTATAGTAGGAAGGGCAAACAAATTACAGGAGCAGTACCTACAGTGTCACTAGTGCTGCCAAGTCTCTTGCCAACGCCTACCCCGACTCCTGAAATTCCTACACCACCACCAATTTCATCCCAAGGTGATAACATTCCTACTGATAATATTCCTCTCCCTACTCCTCCCACACCAATATCAGTACGGAGGACTACTCGCAGTAATGCGGGACATCCTCCCGATAGATATGGTTAGGATCTTGCCCAGTATGTATCATATTCTAGTATCCACCCTGCATATGGAGCATTCATTGCATCATTGGACTCTGTTACTGTACCTAACAATTGGCAGGTTACTAAGAATGACCCAAAATGGAAAGCGACTATGCACGAGGAGCTAGGAGCTCTAGAGAAGAACCGCACTTAGGAGCTAGTAAAGTTACCAGAAGGAAAGGGAGCAGTTGGATGCAAGTGGGTCTTCACTGTGAAGCAGAATCCAGATGGACAAGTTGAGCGCTACAAGGCCCGTCTGGTGGCAAAAGGGTATAGTCAGACATATGGCATCGATTATGATGAGACTTTTGCACCGGTGGCGAAGATGAGCATTGTTCGGACCTTAATCTCTCTGGCAGTGAATGGTGGATGGAAGCTACACCAACTAGATGTGAAGAATGCATTTCTTCATGGAGATCTAGTGGAGGAGGTATACATGGAGATACCACCAGGATTTGATACAGATCAGACAGTGGGAAATGTCTGCAGATTGAAGAAGTCTCTCTATGGTCTGAAGCAATCTCCCCGTGCTTGGTTCGACAGATTCAGAAGGGCTATGATTGGTATGGGATACCAACAGATCAACACCGACCATACAGTGTTCTTTCGACGGAGTGGAGGCCACATTACTATGCTTGCGGTATATGTGGATGATATGATTATTACAGGGGATGACGAGAAGGAGATTGCCCAACTCAAAGTGAGACTGGGTAAGGAATTTGAGGTGAAAGATCTTGGCTTGCTTAGATACTTTCTTGGAATAGAGATAGCTCGAGGAGCGGAAGGGATCATCCTATCCCAGAGAAAGTATGCACTGGATCTTCTCAAAGAGACAGGAATGTTAGGGTGCAAACCTGCAACTACACCGATCGACCAGAGGTTCAAGCTAGGTGCTGAGGCTGGAGAACCAGTTGATCGTGACAGATATCAGAGGTTGGTGGGAAGGCTGATCTATTTGAGTCACACACGTCCTGATATCTCTTTTGCAGTAAGCGTGGTGAGTCGCTACATGCACGATCCGAGGAAGGGTCATATGGACGCTGTGTACCAGATTCTGAGATACTTAAAGAGTGCCCCCGAAAAGGGACTGATATTCAGAAAGAATGGACATGTGAACATCGAGGGTTATTGCGACTCTGACTGGGCTAGCTGTGCTGATGACAGGAGGTCCACCTCAGGATACTGCATCTTTATAGGAGGTAACTTAGTCTCGTGGAAGAGCAAGAAGCAGTCAGTGGTGGCGAGATCGACAGCTGAGGCAGAGTATAGAGCTATGGCCTAAGGAGTTGCTGAGTTGCTATGGTTGAAGAGTATGCTGGTGGAGCTGAAGCTGGATCAAGGAGCTAAGATGAAGTTATGGTGTGACAACAAATCAGCTATCAGTATTGCCAACAACCCAGTGCAGCATGATAGAACCAAACACATCGAGATCGATAGGTTCTTCATCAAAGAGAAGTTGGATAGTGGACTACTGGAGCTAAGTCATGTTTCGACTAAGGACCAGACAGCAGATTGTCTGACTAAAGGACTCAGCTCAGTAGATATGATTAGAGGATGTGACAAGATGGGCTTAATAGATATCTTTCGCCCATCTTGAGGAGGAGTGTTGACATATTAGTATTATTAGGGACTTATTTGTAAGTTTTGTAGGGGCATATATAAAGCCCAAGAGATCTCATAATGAATTAGGGTTTTCACATTCTATATGGACTAATTAAATACTTTTAATAACTAATGATGTATAGAAGGGAGACAACTTTAGTAAACAGTAGAACATAAATGAGTTATTTTCCTTGTCAAAATTAGGATTTTTTTAAGAAACATATAAGTAAATGGGGGCTGGTTTGTCCTTTCATGATGGTAGTAGTGTGCTGTAGACATGACACTCATATAAGCTGTCAGCTATGATCAGGTCTATTGTGACCTGGACATGCATCAGCGACACACCGGCTAGCTTTGAGAGGCACACCAGACCCATTTTTGAGTTATAGACTAGTTATGTACTGCAAGGGGATAACAACCCTTAACTATGTCCAATTATTAGTATCAAGCAGAAATAAGGGGATTCGTGGTACATGGGCACCATATTATATATCAAGAATCAGAATTGACATGCAGCAATATTAAAATTAAGTATGTTGTGTATATTAATTACATAACCCTTAACCATGTCCAATTGATGGATTCAAATAGAAATAAGGAGACTAGGTACATCGACGCCATATTATAGATAAAAAATCAGAATCGACAAGCACCAATAACACACAAACACATTTATGCCTGCACAGTACGTGCTACAACATTACAATCATCATTGTTGTAATCCAAGATGTTTCGACTCAAAAAACGGTCCATCATTGAGCATAGCGTAAAAAGGTCAAGAGAGCTCCTACAAATAAGGGATAAAACATGTAACTGTAATATCATTATATTGGAGAACTGCAATTCGGTAAGCTTATTACGAAACCAAGCACCATAAACTAGCTCCAATGTAATCCTTAGCTACTTATGAAAAGTTGACAGAATATAAATGAGACGAGAAGTTTCTGGAATTGTTAATGTGGTGAAAATCCTTCAGCAATTGGCAAAATCAGAGTCCTCGCACATTTTACTGAAAAAAGGGTCTTTAAATTACATGAGAAAATCCGGGAAGAACAAAGTGCACGTGAATAGGGATGTGGCTTGTCGACATTAGACATCGATATTGGTTACTTAGGAAATTTTATCTGTAACTGAATCACATACTTCAGATGATAATGAGTCGTATTGTAATATGGACCTTGTTTTTGTAGTATAATCAATATACAATTTCAGATTTTCCTCTATCTTTCCACAGGATTAAGATATCATCCTTGAATCATATATAAAAACACATAAAAAGGAAATTTTACAGAATTTTCAGAAATAAGCATTTACGAAAAAAAAGATAAAGTAAAGAACATCGTACCCTGGAACAACTGGGTACATAGCATTTCCAAAATCATTCTTAATAATGTGAAGGTCAGTATGGCATATTCCACAATACAAAATCTTTAACGTAACATCATTATCCCTGAGAGCCCTACAAAATAGTATGGAACAAAGTCAAAATTAATATATTCCAACATTACCAATATTTCTGGAAAAAAAACTATAAAAGCATTAAGTTATAAGAAGCAAATTATTACAATTTAATTTGTTAATGATTAGTAAAAAAAATTCATAACTGCATTCAAATGTGCACTTCTTGCCTAAATTCTTTAAAGAATACACTAGCTTGCTTCCGAAAAATGTTAGATAATTCTGAGAAAACAGTTCACAGTTAAATCCTTGAAAACCCGTGTTTAAATGTCTGAAACAGGCTTAATGATATGACATGTACAGCATAACTCTTTTAGTTGAAACTGAGAACAAAACCAGCTTGTTCTTGAATATATGTGCAGTGCAAAATCTACATATCGAAAAATGAGAGCACAAATTCTATTGGAGCCTTGCATAAGTGCAAGGTGTTCTGAGCCATTCATAGAGAAGAAGGGGGCAGTTTTGAGATTCCATTGCTCGTTTGTATGGTTCAGAACATCTCGCTCACACGAGATGTGGTTTTGATAGGATGGAAGGGATTGGGAAAACTGAGGAAAAAATTACAACTTTTCCACCTCCTATGGTGTTTGCCACAATGCTACTCTTCCCTCTTCTTTATGAGTTTATCCAAAAAAATTCAGCAAAAAAGAGGAAAATTATTTATCCATAGACTTTAAAAATAAATTTTAACACTCATAGTTAGGTTGGCCGTAAGACTTGAGAGAATAAAATAAAATTGGGAGCAAATCAGCACGACTTGGAGGTCAAAACTAAATACTTTGGGGGTATATAAGAAAAAGGTTAACTAAATAAATTTAAGGTATATAAGAAAAATGTTAAATATCAGAACCCCCCGCCCCAAAAAAAAAAAAATCTTTGGCCGATTACTAGATAACCACCCATAACTTTCAAAATATTAGAAAAGAAGAAATTTTCTAAACAAACTCATTCATAAATTTTTTTCTAAAAATAGACCCCCTTGAGTTTTTTTTTTACAAAAATCGACCCATTTTGTCTTAATCCGGTTTCTAAATGGCCGGAGTTGCCAACCCCGACTATTTAATGCATAGAATGTTAGGGTTTAGGGTTATAATTAGGGGTTTACAACCTCCTAAATAGTCAAGGTTGGCAACCCCGACTATTTAGGAACCGGATTAAGATAAAATGGGTCTATTTTTGTAAATAAAACTCAAGGGGGTCTATTTTTAGAAAAAAAAAACATGAATGAGTTTATTTAGAAAATTTCTTCTATTAGAAAACCCAAAATCCCCTTCAATTTAGGGTTGTCAGAAAACCCCCTTGAACTTTAAGATTTTATAATAATAAAAGGGTTAATTACAGAAGCAAACCATGAACTTTTTGGGAATTGCAGTAAACCCCCATCAACTTTTTTTATTACACTTAAACGCAATTAACTTTTGGGGACTTGCACATAACCCTCATGAACTATTTTATTTCACAAAATCTTACTTGAAAATTTATCTTTTAATCCACATATTAGCACCATCAACTAATGGACAATAAAAGAAGACGGAAAAATTCTTCTTAGTACCAGAAAAACCCTTTTATTGAAAAGGAAAAATAGGTTTTTGGGACCAATGAATTATTTTCATTATTTTTTTGGCACGTGCTTGCCACATGGGATATTAGAATCAATGGTGCTAATTTGAAGATTAAATAAGAACTTTCCAAGTGAAATTTAGTGAAATAAAAAAACTCATGGGGGTTATGTGCAACTCCCCAAAAATTTTGGGGGTTTAGTGTAACAAAAAAAAAAAAGCTGACGCAGGTTTATTGCAACTCACCAGAAGTTGATGGGGGTTTTCTGTAATTAACTCTAAAAAAACTCAACATAATTAATCGCACACATGGGCGTCAAACCATCCTGTTAAGGAGATAAGGGTAATGAAATTGCATGAATATGAAAAGGAATTGACTGATGGCGCTGATCTGAGATGGTATTAATGCCATGTAGCCGAAAGACTAATAACATAAGCCTTTGCGTGTGAAGATTATTGTTGCAACTGCGTTGCCATTTCCAAAATACAGTTTTAGTTACAATTACTCATGTTGTTTCGATGCAACTCAAGTTGCTGTAATTGTAAAACTAATCACTTTTTTTTTTTAGATATACTAGCAAACAAATTGAGTGGAAACTTTTTTTTTCTTCGGCATGCAGCTGAGATGTAAAGAGGCTCTAGTCGCAGCAAAACAACTAACTGCGGTTGTAACTAGAAATGCATGCTGCGGATTGCATTCACAACTGCAGTTGTTATTTTATACAATCCGTACAACCCTTGATCTCTAGAATCCTAAAAGTCGGGAAAGCTGTGAGTTGTTTGCTCATCTAATTAGCAACAATCTCTATAACTATCACTGACTTGTCATTTTACCATGACATCTTCGTTGTGCTCTGGTATTTGTTATGTAGGATGCCAAAGAATTAGAGTCCTTATGTTTAACTTATTATATCTCGTTTGTCTCATATTGGGCATATGCCTCTTCAGCTATTGCTCAAAATATATGGCTAATGACTTAGATCATATCAAATTTTCAGGTGAGTTTCTATCTTAAATAATTTACAGGCTTTCGGTCTCTCTGCATGTTAATCTGTTTATGGGCACATGACGTTTTGTTTGTTAATCATATGGTTACATGATGTTGTTTCTGTAGCATACTTCTCATGTCAAACAAACTAGCATCCCCTTAATCAAATTTCCCTGCCCTTGGATCGAAGTTAAAACCACACTAAGCTTGCACTTTCATAACATTATCTCAGAGTAGCTTGCATACTCGAACCCTGTAATCTGATGCTTTTACAGGTTGCATGAAGATGCAGTTTTGATTCTTAAAAGGCCTTTTTTTCACTGGCATTACACGTATGTGGTCTTAGTTTTCTTTGGCCATTGCGATCATGTGTGGTTCAAATAATTAAAACTCTAGATAAATAATTATTACATAATTATTGCAATTTTTCACATTTTTGAAGATGCGCCTTTTTTTTGTATATTTAAAGAAATGAAATTGCAACAACAATGGCTTTCATGTCATGTGGAATTGCTTCAAAAGTTGCAATAATTATTTTTTTATGCCGTCCAAATTAAATCCAAATCAGCTAGTTGCTCTTTCATTTGTTATCTAACCTTCACATGTTAGTTCAATAAATTAGAGAAGAACAAGAAAATCTAATGATGCATTTGAACAGGGAAGAGCCCACTAAAAGCGAAGAAACTTAGCATAAACGCATTGGGGTTTGCTCAATTCACTTGAGAAATAGAGAGAGCAAGAGGATCAATGATGAAGAAAAGCAAAAAAAAAAAAAAAGCATTTGTTGCGTTACCTGCGTGAGAAGGAGAAGGGAGAGAGAACTCCAGTTGGATCTCTTGCTGCCCACCCAAACGCACTCTGCAGTTCTCCCATCTCTTTCTCGACTTTCGTGGACAATACAATTTCGGGAAAGGGGTTTAAGATAGGGATTTTCGATATTAGTCCCTTACATCATTGGTATTTCAATATTAGTTCCCTAACTTTTCATGTTTTGGTTTTAGCCCCCTAAACTTCATGAATATGTTGATACTAACCCTTGAGGTTAGTTGGGGTTATAAATGTTAGGAAATATTCTGTTATGTTTAGCTTTTTATGGAACGGACGATTATACCCTCACTTCTAATGCACAAACTCACATACCCATTAAACCTTCCTTAAAAAAACAAAAAGAACTTAAGAAACCTGTTAAGAGACGAGTTTTGCTACAGGGACCCAAAATATGGGACCAATAAAGGGGACAAGTGAGGTGTCCCCCTCCTATTGGATAATGAGTTGGCTATCATTAATGATGGCCAACTCATTATCCAATAGGAGGGGGACACCTCACTTGTCCCTTTTATTGGTCTCCTATTTTGGGTCCTTAAAGAATTTTTCGTTAAGAGACCGAGGTTTAGGTAACTTTGTTAATGGAGTTTCTAATTTTTGAGGCACACGGGATTAAGTAGAAAATGAGAGTGGGAGAGGGCATGATTTTGTAATCATACAGCCATCTACTAACCCAACCATGGTTAACGTTTTGGAAAAAAAAAGGCAACATGAGGAAGTACTTCAATGCGGATAAAGAATTTAGGAGACTAATATCAAAATATGAAGACTTAGTGAACTAATATCAAAGTAATAATGATTTATGGGCCTAATATTGAAGGAAAAAAACCCCTTTTAGATATTAATACCTCATATCTTCAATAAATTTCATACTAGTCCCTCGAACATTTCAAATTGCTTACATGTCCCCAAATTCTAAGGGATCTTGCAAATGGGCCCCTCAAGGACCAAATTACCCATCACCTTAAGTTATTGTTAGGGTTTGGGCTTTTTGGGGGGAAGCATATTGAGAAGAAAAACACTGAAATTTTGTTTGACATCTTGACAAATGATCCTGAATAACTTTTTAAGCCTAGACTTTTGAGTTAGACATGGTGATTTACTTTTCAAATAATTCAACAAGTCCTCAAAATGACAGAGCTATTCCATTAAAATGGGGTTTTCTATTGGAGAATAATATTTTCTCTTTAAAAGTAAAAGTTTGGGAAAAACTTTCCTCATACATTATAACTCTTGATCTTTTTAAATATAACATTATAATTCTATATAACAATTAACAGAGCCCGTTAAATAAATCTATAATACATTACTTGTGATCCTATACTAAATAATAGAAATATCTTAATAAATTCTTAAAAATAAAAAGTCATAAACAAAGTTCTTAAAAATCTAAAAATTATACAAAGCATCCTTAAATTAGAAATTACAAACAAACCTTAGAAATCAACATTTTCAAAAAAAGTCTTTAATACTTTAAAAATTGCTAAGAACCCCTTATATAGCTACAAACTGTCATACTCTCTTTAAAACTTTCCTTGGATAATATTGTCCTTGATCTTTTTAATTATCATATTATGATTCAATTATAATTAATAGAACCCTTTTAAACAGATCTATAATATATTACTTGTGATTTTATCCTAAATAATAAATATCTTTAATAAATTCTTAAAAACCTAAAAGTTATAAATAATATTTTTTAAAATCTAAAAAAATAGAAAGCATTAAATCAAAAAAATACAAAAAACCCTTAGAAATCAATAATTTAAAAATTTTCATTAAAACTTCAAAAATTGTAAACAATCTCTTATACAGCTACAAATTACAAATCGTCATTTGAAAATTCTAAAAATTACAAACATTAGGACTCCTAAAAAATGAAAAAAAAATCTAAAAATTAAAAAACCCTAAAAACTAAAAAATTTGAACAACCTCCTAAACAATTTGAAATCAAAATTTAAAAATTACTAACAACATTCTCACCAAAAAAGAATATAAAAGATACGCTAAAGTATGAAAATTTTGAAGGGTCCCATAAACAACTTGAAGTACAGATAATACCCTAAAAATTGAAAAATTACAGATAAGCCCCTTGAAGAAGATATATTAAAAACCCAGGAAAATCTAAATATTACAAAAAACAACTTAAAATTCACAAATTTTCAAACAGATCTATGAATAGTCTACAATTACATACAATACCCCAAAAATATAAAAATTTTAGATTCTAAAAATTTAAAGTTACTGAAAAAACCTTGAAAATATGAAATCTTTGATGAGCCCTTTGAATAATCTAAAATTACTACTAAGCACTCAAATTTTGCAAACAACTTACTAAAAGTTCTAAACAATACAAAAATTATGATTATCTAATCAACTATCTATGAAATGTTTTATCAAATTATTTTAACTAAAATACTAACTTTTATCAAATTCTTGTAAACAACCTAAATGATGTGGGAATGTTATCAACTCTTGAATTATGGTTGTCTAACAAATTTTCTATGATATATTTGGGCGAGGAATCACATAATGTTGGACTTAAACTCTATAGGGATGGAGGTAACAAGTTAATAACATTATCCTAATTTACTTATATTAATAAGATAGCAGTCAAATTTAACTTGCAAGATCCAAAGAAGATACTTATTCCTTTTGGACACCAAGTCGCTTTTTCCAAGAAAATATCATCTCATACAAATGAGGAGTTGGAAAGAATGAGCAATGTCCATATGCTACTACGAAAAAGTTCTTTGATATGTCTATTAGATCAAAATTCTAAAATTATAAGTTGGAATTTTTGATATGTGTGCTAGATCAAAGTTCTAAATTTTATAAGGCATAACTAAATTCAATGTATTATTAAGTTTGATATTAGTCTCTAAAATGTTATCATCGTGTTATCATCATCAAGTAGAGGTTTAAAAACATGATATTATTTTGTCCAATAAATTATATGGTAAACCGTTAATTATTTCACAAATGAGTTATAGACTTACAGTAACGATATTTATCTGTTTCTCGAAAAATATAAAGACATAAACCCAAATAAAATAATCAAATAATGTGACTCATGACATGCACGTGCAGCCCAACTAGTCAATTAAAATAATGTGAGATTGAACTTCATCTTATTGAATTTGATGATTATATTGACTCGCAAACTATTTGTACTTGATTTAGCTCAAGTGTTGGCTTGATTTTTATTATTCGTAGTGATTTTATTATTTATATTGATTCAAAATTCAAAGCAAAGAGTGCCCTCCATCATATCTGATTGTTTTCCCCCTTTCTTTTACATGATTCTCGTCTGACGAGAACTTGCCCGCTGTAAGTGTTCCTAGGACCACATGCCCTTGTCATAAGTCACTAGAAAAACGATGTCAACTTTTTCTTGATTTTATGAGTTTGTGGTATGAGTGCTAAACCGTATCCGTATCCAAAAAAATATTTGTAATCGTATCCGTTACGATACATATATGGTTACTCAAATTTATAATCGATAGGATATGGTTATGGATCGATATGGTTACGTAGTGAAATATCTGTATTTGTATCCGTATCTGAAATATCTGAATACATATTAGTCATACTCTACGGTAGTTTCGATTCTTAGATTATGAATTTATGGTTAATTTTGATGATCAATATGTCTAATCTTAACTTTTCAGTTATAATAAACATATTAACGAATTCTTTTGTATCACATGAACTATGTTTTTCTCGATACTATGTAGTTTTCTCATATCTGTTTTGTATCAGCATGCATATCGGCTTATATATTTTCATGTATATCCGTAACAATATCCTATTTTAGTGGATATTTATAAAAAAATTTATTACCAAGATATATCTGTATCCTTATCCGAGATACATAAGAGGATATGGATATGATAATTAAGCATCATATCTGAGCCGTATCCGGACCAAATGCACCCCTAGCTTGTGGTGTACATAGTCTATACTTTAAAGCTCGATCCCCGTTGATTAGTGGCACGTAGGTGTCCCATAACCTAACCTAGGAGAACGAGATAGGCATGTAAAACTCGAAGCACGCATCTTATTAGAACCGACCTCATGTTAGAAGGATATAATTACCGTACCCTTTTATTTTAAAGAAACTTTGCATTCAAATGTGAAGTTCATATTGTAGAAATGGCAGAATTCAGGCAGACAGATTGGCGGTCGACCGCGGCGGTCGACCGCATTCGTGCACGAGACTTACTGGGCGTCAGGATTGGTGGCGGTCGACCGCGGCGGTCAACCGTTTGGGTTTTCTATAAATACCCAAACTCGATTCTGGGGTTTGTAAGGCAAGTGTTTTGAGCTGTTGAAAGGAGTTTTCTTTGGGCTTCTATTCTAGGAGCAATTGGTGAGATCAAGAGTTGATTTGTTAAGAGTTTATGAGAGATTTGTAACCCTAGTTGTATCCCATTGATTTCTAATAGTGAAAACTCTCCCCTCCTTGCCCCGTGGACGTAGGCATCTCGCCGAACCACGTAAAATCTGGTGTTGATTGTGTTTGTGCTCTTGTTGGTGTGTTGGTTTATCTCTTTCGGCTATTTGGTTGGATCTTGGCATAGCCGCATAGGGGTTTCTTCCCAACAATTGGTATCAGAGCTCCGGGCAACGCTTGGGCTTTTTTGGAGGTGTAGATCAGTTGGGAAGTTCATCTAGAGCTTCGATTGGTGATAAAGATTGGATCTTTATGGTAAAGTTTTTATCTTTTTCAAGTTGGATCTATTTCCTATTGTTCCGCAATAGTTTGGGTGCTTTGAGATATATGGCCGAAAAAGATAAAAGTGGGGAGGGTTCTTCTAGTGTGAAGGCCGTCCAAAGTTTGAATATACATTCTATGAAAATAGATGTAGAAAAGTTCAACGGCACAAATAATTTTGGACTTTGGCGATGTGAAGTCATGGATGCGCTAAATGCGCAAAATCTGGAAGATACGTTGGAGTTGGACGGGAAACCGGACAACATGGATGAAAAGGTTTGGAATAAAATGAATAGAACGGCGTGTGGTGTGATTAGGTCTTGCCTTACCCAAGATCTAAAATATGATGTGATGAATGAAA